AATCCTCCAATGTTTTTTTTTTTTTCTCTCTCTTTCTCAATCCCACTTTATGAATAATTCAAATTTCAATTAATGATCACTTTATCATGATCACGCGATCATTAAAAAATGATATGGATTATTGTATTAATACAAATTATTTCCGATCAGCTTGTTTGGCCGGCTTATATTTCATATGCAAATGCCAAAAAAAAAAGGATAAAAAAATTAAAAGGAGAAAATAATATAATCATAAAAACATGATATGCATACAGTTTTTAAATTTATCTCGTGAAATGTCGACTTCTTGAGGTCAATTCTTTCACAAGAATTTGTTGTTATGCTATTTTATCTCATAATGTTAATGAAGCGTCAGAAATTGTCTGAACCCAATCTCATATGACCCGACTTTGGTTACATATCATATACTGGAAATGGGTTTTGGAATTTTTCCAGCATGTAATGACTGAGACAACAAAATTTGCCAGCTTATGTCCATCTATATTTAATCTTATGCTTCTATATATTGTAGGAATAGCATTGGTAATTTATTTTTTAAAAAAATAAAAAAAATAAGTGGACAAAAACAAAAATAAAAAAAAAAATCAGTAGCCCAAAATCAATTACACGTATTCTCATAATACGTTTTAATAATTAAATTTTATTTAAACAACGTATTCTTAAAATACGTGTTATAATTAATTTTATTTTAAAAAAATTTAAAAAACATTATAAAACGTATTGTTATAATACGTTTTTACAAAAAATTAATAAATAAAATGTATTTTTATGATACGTTTAATATTTTAAAATTAATGAAAAAAAATAATATTTAGTATGTATTTTGTGTTTCGAGCTCGTTTGGGATCGTCTGAACTCGGAATTGAGTTTCGTTTTTTCCTATACGTAGCTAACAACCCCTCTATTCAATGATGCTTGCATGACCAAATTATTCTTGAAATCTCTTGACCAACGGAACACCCGAAATCTCCTCTTCTCGCTTATTTTGCTACTATTCTCACGGGAATTCAAGTTTCTCTAATTAAATGCTCGGAACTCTGAAATACTCGATAATTGCACCGCATGACATCGTGTCTGAATTATCTACACGCCCCAACTCGATTCTCGGGAAACCTAAGTCACACGCGACCTTGCGGGACCCACGTAAACAGCCTTTTCATTTATTTTACTAATATGCACCCTCAAACTCGAGCTTCTCTAAATAAATGATCGGGACTTCGAAATAATAAATCGACGCTATAAACGGCTTCTCCTCTTCTTGTGCTTCTCGAAAGCACTTTTCGTTAATGTTCGACTCGCTTATCGAGGCCCGACGGAACACCCGAAGTCTCCTCTTCTCGCTTATTTTGCTACTACTCCCACGTGAATTCAAGTTTTTCTAATTAATTGCTCGGAACTCCTAAATACTCGATAAATGCCCCGCATGACATCGTGCTTGTATTATCTACACGCCCCAACTCGATTCTAGGTAAACCGAAGTCACACGTGACCTTGCGGGAACCACGTAAACGGCTTTTTCATTTATTTTACTAATATGCACCCTCAAACTCGAGCTTCTCTAAATAAATGATCGGGACCTCGAAATAATAAATCGATGCCATAAACGGCTTCTCTCTTCTCCTGCTTTATGGAAAGCACTTTTTGTTAATGCTCGACTCCCTTATCGAGGCCCGACGGAACACCCGAAGTCTCTTCTTCTCGCTTATTTTGCTACTACTAGTACGAATCCCGTGCTATGCACGGGTAGTAGATATTTATTAGGGAGATTAGATACCATATAGTAACACCTTTCTAGTTTTTATATAAATAATTAAATATTTGTTTATTTTGGTTCTATTTTCTTTAACTAATACGAATCATGTGCTATGCATAGGTAGGAGATATTTATTAATATTTATAAATTAAAAATACACATTAAGTAGTTGAGTAATTTATTAAATTATAAATAATTGATTATTCCATTTACGTTCAAGTTAACACTAACCCGTAAGTTATTAAGAATAACTTATTTGACTTTTAAATTTGAAAACCAAATTTAGACTACACAATAAATTCTCTTATACATATTATCTCGCAATTTTTTATATTTTTTTTTCGGTTACCTTATTGTTCAAATTTATTAACTAATTTTCTAAAATCAGGAAACACGTAATTGTTCGTAACCCTACCCCCAAATTCTCGCCGGCGGTTCATCTCAAATTAACGCTCGATTGGCCTTCTTCGGCGACAGCGGGCCTCTGGCCAGGGGTCATCATTGACCGCTCATGGAATAATAAATGACGAAGTGCGCCTTCGATGTCGCTATGGAAGGGCTGCGATAGGCGGCCTAGCTCGAGGTTACTGACGGCGTTCTGGTCGATCGTGGCCTCCTTCAGGGTCGGTGTTTGGCTGGCGACGGGAGTCTTCCCCTCACTTGCCGGTGGAGCTTCGATTTGTGACGGTAAGCCCTCCAACTTCGCTTTGTCGGTAATTCTTGAATTCGGCCTTTTTCGGCGGGGCTCCGCCTTTTTTGGGTGGTGGGGCTTGGGCCTCCGATTGGGTCCCTTATGGTGGTGTTGGGTGGAGTGCGAGTCCTCACGGGGATGGGGCTCTGGTTGCTGCGGCCTTTTCAGTCGCGGTGGCCGGGGTTAAGGGACAGACCCACCTTCACCCTCTCCTGTTCGGCTAGTGGTGTTAGGCGGCGGGGGAACCTGAGTTCGGCTAGTGGTGTTAGACGAGTTCGGGTGGGCCGGGGTGGGGTTGGTCGATTCTCTTTCGGTTGGAGATGGGTTGATTCGTGGACTGTTTCGGGGCTCGGGTTCGGCTACTGTATAGGCATTGGTGCAGTTTCGGTAGTGTTTTCTCTGGCTTGGAATCTTCCCTGTGTCGATCGTTCATCGCTGGTTGGAACCGTCCGTATGCCGTGGAAGGGCTATTTTGTTATTTTTGCTATTTGTTTTTAGTGTTTTTCTTATGTCTGTGTCTGTATTTGTGATCGTTTTTGTGTTTTAGGTTTGGGTCGTTGACCCCTGTGAGCCCGAGTGTCACCTTATTACCCCGTTGGGGCCCGACACTCGGGTATTACCCTGTTGGGGCCTTTGTGTTGTTTTTTTGTGTTTTTAGTGCTATTGTGTTTTACCCTGTTGGGGTCATATCCCGTCTATGGGATCTCTAGGCCGCTCTATAGCGTGTCCTCTCTTTTTTTTTTTCGGCTGTGGGTCGCGTTTGTATTAGAACTATGTTTCTCTTTTGAGGTTTGATATAATATTCCTTTCGTTCCGAAAAAAAAAAAAATATTTGTTCAAAAATCTTTCTGATATTCAAGAGGAATGCATATCAATTTGAAAAATTATAATCAAAATTGTGTTAGTTGATCAAATTTTTAAGGGAAATGATGTACATATTGTATTATTTAAACCGTAAAGTTGTGAATTATTTGTAGAATAAATCAATTTGTAGTATATGAAATCCTCAATTTTCGGAATAAATCAATTCGTAGCTTTTGAGCCTACATTATATGGAATCCTCAATTTTTGAATTGTTATATTCTAAATAGTTATATATTAAATAGCCACTATTGTGTAATTTTATGCATCATAAGTGACTCATGAACCGACCTATCA